AGATTTGTGAGGTCGCAGTGCGAAAAATTACATCTTATAAAGAGGAAAAACCCAAAATATCCTGATGGGTTTATAAGCACATTCTCATAACGGAAGACTGAAAAGACCTTTGATTAGTAACACTACATGCGAGCGAGCGTAGCGAGCGTGCTTTTGGTGAAATTTCTCTTAGTCACTTGAGGCACGTTTAATGATGAGAGGAAAAGGGAACACTTATCGAAAGGGATAAGACACTTATTAGAAAAGAAAAGGAGCACGTGTCAAAGTGCAAAGGCTAATTAACAGAGGTGAACATGGGGCACTTCTTACACCTAAAAAAAGAGGCACTAACCAGGGATGAAAAGGGCACTTATGACAATGGGAAATGGGCATTTGTCGACGGAAAAAAGGCACTCATCAGATTTTAAAGGGGCATTTATAACAAGTGAGTAAGTGGCTCCCATTAAAAAGAAAAAGAGGCGCATCTTAAAATAAACGGGGCACTTGTCAGAGATGAAAAGGGGGTAATTATGAGAAGAGGAAGGGGCACTTATAAGAAGGAAAATGAGCATTTATTGGGGAGGAAAGGGGGACGTGTCAAATAAAAGGGGAATTTATTAGAGATGAAAAGAGCATTTATCAGGAGAGGAAGGGGCACTTGTCAAAGTAAAACGATTTTCTCTCAGAATTATATAGGGTCATTTACAAGAGATGAAAAAGGGCATTTATGAGAAGTGGAAGGGGATATTTTTAATGGGGGCACTTATCATAAGGAAAAGGGGCACTTATTAGAAAGGAAAGGGGGCGCATGGGAAAATATAAGGTGCGCTTATCCGAGTTAAAAAGGGTTAGTTATTAAACTGGGAAGGGGCACTTCTTACAAGGCAAAAGGGGCACTTGTCAAAGAAAAAGGGGCACTTCTCAGATTTGAATAGGGTAATTATCAGAGGTGAAGAGGCGCTTATCAAAAGTAAAAAAGGGGCACTTACTAGAGATTAAAAAGGGCACTTGTGAGAATGAAAAATGGAAACTTATTGCAAAGGAACATGGGAACTTGTCGAAGGAAAATTGGTACGTGTCAAAATAAAAGGGGTACTTATCAGAGTCGGAAAGGGGAAGGTGCACTTTTTAAAGTAATGGTGGCACTTATCAAATTAAAAGGGGTACTTTTCTATGTAAAAAGGGGCACTTCTTACAACGGTAAGGGACACTTTTCCTGTAGGAAGGGGCAATTTTGGGGTACTTCAAAAATTGGGGGGGGGGGGGGATGTGCCTCCCGCCCCCCCCCCCCCCCCCCCCCCCCCCCGCGAGCGCCACCTCTGCACAGTCATGTACTCCTCGACTGTGTTTTTTATTATGTATATGAAAGCTCAACATTTCGAGCAGTGCATGTGTTCTTTTCTCCTTTTTTCTTTTTTTTTCCTATTCCTTTTTAAAAAAATTCTCGAATATTCTAAATGTCATTAGATGTTAATTTTATGTAAGCATTCTTTCTTGTTTTTATTGAGTTTTGAAATAAAAATCATTCGAATTGAGTTGAAATTGAATTAAATTTGGTGGCAGATGACGCTATACCAATTTGATTGTGTATCAACAGATAATTGATCATTTATTAACAATATTCATACTTCACAAATAGAGGAAATTAGTTTTCAACCAACTTTTAACAATACTATGGCGCCCCGACCTCTATGGCGGAATCGTTCCCATTCTCAGCAAGGGAATTTAATTTACCCCCTTCTCTCTCTTTTCGTAAGATGCCAATTGATGTCAACAATTTCCGAGCTGTCAAAGAAATTAGGTCTTAACTTTATTTGCAAAGGGCGGGGCACCTACAATTAATTTTACTGTTTGTTTCTTCAAAATATATGACTCTGATGGCGGTAAGTTAAAAAAGACACAAGCGTTATTGGACCATTTTCAAGTTTCAAGAGAAAAGTGAAGTGGTCAACTTTCATTGACGACTATTTTATTTACAATATTTATATCGCCACTGTTACAATGTCTAATAGGCCTACTTATTAGTACTCTAACTCATATGATTTTATTTATTTATGTTCTTATATTTATCTCAATACATGAAACTAGTAAACTTAAAGGGCAATGGTTCATTAATCAATATACACGGACTTTGTAAGAACTATGGAAGTTTCCCATTTGAGTTTAATTCAATTTCTTCTAATATGGCATCATGAGATGGGTGGTTCAGATCCCGAAGCATGAGGTTGTGCTAGTCCGTAATATTCTTTATTTCTCATTTATAAACTTCAGAACCAAAAATAAACCATCAAATTACAAAAGGGTATCTTGTGTTATGGACAGATCACAGTCATTATATTCATAAACAAATGCAGGCACGGATCCAGGATTTCTCAGGGGGGGGGGGGATTTAAAATCATGCGAGCCAAATATCGGTACGTTATGGTTTCCAGCAGTGGTGTAAATTTTTTTTTTTTTTTTTTTTTTTTTTTTTGGGGGGGGGGGGGAGGGGGGGGGGTCAGAGATAAAATCTCATCTATAACCACCACTTTTACCTGCAGGCCCCGCTGAACGTTTTTTTTTTTTTTTGGTGGGGGATAAAGTATTTACGTTCAGATACAGCGAAGGGGCGTGGGGTCTAGGGCAAACCCCGGTGGGGAATAAGGGGTGGAACCCCCGGAAGCTTAGGGGTATGGGCATTTAATTACGGTCAAATGAGCATATTTCGATACCTTATTCATGACACTGACATGTCACTAATTGGCGTGAGGTCCAGGGGACGCAGCCCCCAGAAGCTCAGGAGTTTAAGGAATTAAATTACCGTCTGATGAGCATCCAGAGGCCCGCCTTAGAGCCCTGGGTGGGAACCAGGGGTTTTTAATTACGGTCAGCTGACCATATTTGTGACACATGCAGGTCACTCTTTTTTCTTTCTTTCTGTCTTTCTTTCTATTTCTCTTAATATACTTTTTAAACAAAGAGGGGGAGGGAGGTCAAGTCCCCTGAGCCCCACCGTTCTGCGGACCCTGGCATATTGGCCTCTTAATAAGCATATTTCTTGCCTGACTGTAAATTTTTGAATTTGTCATTTTCCAACAAATGCATTCACAAATTTAGTGAACTAAAAAGCGAGGAAAAATCCCGAAAAAATTATGTCATTTAAGCAAAATTTGTAAATCACTGGTATTGATTTAGAAATAAACCACGTTGGAAATTGTGTTGGGGTCAAATGCTCCAAGCCCCCCCCCCCCCCCTTGCAGTACGCCAGGGTTGATCAGGTGCGTATTTGGCGCTTGGTCTCAATGACGAAAGAAGAAGCGATACAAATCGCAACTTATTTTCCCTTCTTTTCCCCCTTTTCTTGTCTTCTTCCTTTTTATTTTCTTTCACTATCTTTCCTCCTTCCCCTTCCCTTCCTATCCATTCTTTCTCTCTCTCTCTCTCTCTTTCTTTCTTTATTTTGCTGAGGTGGGGGGGGGGAGCGGGAGGCAAGGGCATTTTGCCCCCCCCCCCCCCCGATCCACGACTGGTCGGCGATATCCCCCTTCTTTTTTTCTTCTTCTTCCTCTTTTTTTCCTTCCCTTTATCTCCTTTTCCTTTTTTTCTTCTTTCTCTTTCCTTCCTGCTCTCTGTTTTTGCTGCGGGGGGGGGGAGGCAACAGCATGGGCAAGGTCCTTTCGTCCCCCGATCTCCTTCTTTCCCCCTTTTCTTTTCTTCTTCCTCTTCTTTCTTTCCCTTTTCTCTCTTCTTTCCCTTTCCCTTCTTTTCCTTCTCCCCCTCTCTCCTTTTTTTAAAAATTTTTTAAAAATTTGTTTTAATATATATATTTTTTTTGGGGGGGGGGAAGGCCCCCTGGACCCACCTTTCCCCTGGATCCGCGCCTCGCTTACGCTTGGTTCGTGCGCATTCCATGTGCTCATCTGCAGAGATCTGCGGCCTAAATAAAACAAAAATATTAAAAATAGACCTACTCGCAATCAATTCCTATTAGTTCCCTTTCAGTCCACGCCCTAAATTGCAAAACAGCCTGAGCCCCTCCTCCCACCCCCTCCTTGCTTGCGACAAGACGTATTAAAAATATATATATAATTGACAGGCCAAGTCGGGCTAAGATGCCCCATACAATTCTAGCTCCGTCCCGCGCCACATCTGTTTCCCCTTTTTGGTGTTCAAACTGTAAACTTTTCAGAGAGTAAAATGCCAGAATTTTCCCATTTGAGAAGTGATAAAGTATGATTAAAGATACAGACCAGTCTTATAAGGACTAAATAGCACGAACTATACTGTAACACTAACACATACTCGCCCCGATCGTAGTCCCTTTGCATAACTAAATTCGCGACACGGCCGAAAAGGCTACCCGGCGGCCCGCTATAACAAGTGCTCTGATTCGCCAGAGTTAAATATACGTACACATGTTTAACATGCGGTACTGTATTTCCCGTTTTGTGTACGTAAACGATAATCCTGCACCGTAATTGGCCGATCAACTACCGCAAGCACTACAACTAACTACCGCAAGCTACTACTCAGTAACGCAAGCACTACAACTAACTACCGTAAGCTACTAACCAGTAACGCAAGCTCGCTTGCGATATATGGCGGCGATGGCCTTCCATATTCGGGCCACGTACTTACACTGTGCGTTGCCGGTATTCCCTCCCTGCCTTTGCCACTCCCTCCCTACGTTTTCAGAAAACGTGGCGGCCGTTTCCTCCCCCAAAACCGTACGGTGGGTTGTGACCAACGCTTTAGTCGTGGGCTGAGATTCGCACCTTCAATCACTGGATTTAGAGTCAAGTGAATGAGCAACTAAACCACGGCACATCCAAGTGTTATGTGGTTGTAGATCCTATTAATAGTTGCCATCGGTATCAATATTGCTCCTATTGATGGGTCGTAATTTATTACTATCCCAATGATGTCAATAAGTTGCCCGTTGCATACACCTGGGTACAGATCAGGGGGCAAATATTGCTTTAAAAATCCCTTGTCCACGGATGTAAATATCAAGAAAATTAAATGCTATTGACATAACTTACAGAAATTGGAGAGACGCCAGAGATTCGAACGTAAATCCTTCGATACCCTGGATATTGTTGTACATCAAATCCCTGTAAGAAATGAAGGGGAAAAAAACGAACACCTTAGGGAGTGAATATCTTATAGGTCGGGTGACATCCAAATATAAGTTGATTGCTGTTGATGTGCAGGGCTGCATGCAACTCTTACTTTGTTATTCAAACATCTTAATATCTTTCATAGATTTTAAAATAATTCTTAAAGTAATTTTCTCAGACCCGCTATGCTCCACCAAAAAAATGCTCCATATCTCATTTATCTTGTAACATCATCTGTCAATCATTAGTGAGCTAACAAGAAACAGTGGTCTGTAACTTCCCCCAGCTCAGCACATGCTCACAAAAGAATTGCATTCTTTCATACAATCCCTTCACATTTCCTATCTTTTCCTGGTGATGCTACGGCACGTCTGACCAGGGCGTAGCTAGACCTTTTTCAGTCGGGGGGGGGGGGGGGGTGTAGAGGCCAACGATTACCGACAAAACTAGCGACCAATTACCGACAAAATTAAATGTCCAATATCTACAAATTTAACCCTATAAACCCGGGGCCGAAGGCTAAATTGTTTTTCCTATGGACTATCTATAGTACTTGCATATGCGCAAATGGTAATTTTCCTCGACGACAAAAATATACGAATTATTTCGTCAACTTAGTCAGCATCATACTTCATAGCTGATATATTTTAATGCAGGCGCGGAGCTAGGATCTTATTTTAGGGAGGGCGGTAGTGAGCAAGCAAATCACTTAAAGAGCGCTCATTAGGGGATGTGGGTGATAGGCCTCTAAATTATTACTATTAGGAAAAGAAGACGATTTATTGTACCTTTCTCGACTGTTAATCCTTGTCTAAATGAAGTTTCCCTCCCCCCCCCCCCCCCCCCCCCCCCCCCCCCCCCCCCCCCCCCCCCTCCCGCGCGAAGCGCGGAAATTTTGACGTTTCATTAAATTATTAGAGAAAGAAGACGATTCGTTGTACCGTTCTCGACTCGTCTAAATGAAGTTTTCTCCCTTCGCGCGAAGCGCGAAATTTTTGGCGTTTCGTCACAATATAGAGAAAGGAAGACGATTCGTCGTACCGTTTTCGACTCTTATTACTCCCTATTCATCTGAATTCAGTTTCCCCCTCTCGCGCGAAGCGCGGAAGCTTTGACGTTTCATTAAATTATTAGAGAAAGAAGACGATTTGTTGTACCGTTTTCGACTCTTAATAAGCCCTAATTGTCTGAATTCAGTTTCCCCCTCTCGCGCGAAGCGCGGAAGCTTTGACGTTTCATTAAATTATTAGAGAAAGAAGACGATTCGTTGTACCGTTTTCGACTCTTAATAAGCCCTATTTGGTGAACTGTTTTCGACTCTTAATCCTTGTGTGAATGAAGCTTCCCCCTCCGCGCAAAGCGCGGACATTTTGACGTTTCATTAAATTATTAGAGAAAGTAGACGATTCGTTGAACCGTGCTCGACTCTTAATCCTTGTCTGAATAAAGCTTCCCCCTCCCGCGCGAAGCGCGGAAGTTTTGACGTTTCATTAAATTATTAGAAAAAGGAGACGATTCGTTGTACCGTTTTCGACTCTTAATAAGCTCTTATTGTCTGAATTCAGTTTCCCCCTTTAGCGCGAAGCGCGGAAGCTTTGACGTTTCCTTAAAATATTAGAGAAAGAAGACGATTCGTTGTACCGTTCTCGACTCGTCTAAATGAAGTTTTCCCCTTCCAATATAGATAAAGGAAGACGATTCGTCGTACCGTTGTTGACTCTTAAACCTTGTTTGAATTTAGTTTCCCCGAAAATGTTAAACCTCTGATTTCTTGAGCTGATATTATAGGAAAGTGAATCTTCGAGAAAATACAAGTATTGTAGTTGTAGTCACTCTCGAAGTCGTCACATCGGATAAAAAGTCACAGTTCGTAGGGAAAAAAACTTGTCGGCCGACCGACAATATACCGACTTCAAACTTCTGCATTGATATAGTACACGAGGATCGAGCAAGAATACCGACACAGCTGACCCGACATAGCAACATTTGTACCCGTGTTTTTCTTGCTCCTTCGACGAGACGACTCCACCCAACAACCCCCTTCTCTCTTTTACTCCCACTCCTCCTCTCTCAGGCTCTTACCTCTCCTCTCTCTCCTCTCTTTCACCCCCGTTTCTTTTGTTTTCCTTTTACTTTTTTTTCTTCTCCCTTTTCTTTCTTTTCCTTCTTTCCTCTCCTCCCTCTTTTTGTTTTTTCTCTTTCTTTCTTCTCTTTTCTTTCCTTTCTTTTCCTTTCTTTCCTTTCTTTTCCTTTCTTTCTTTTCTTTTCCTTTTCTTTTTCTTTTCTTTCCCTTTCCCTCTCTTTTTTCCCCTCCCCCTTTTCTCTCTTTTCCCGACGGCAGCGCAATTTTACCGACAATATCCTGACAGGTGGGGGGTGTCGCACCCCCCCCCCCACACCCCCCCCCCCCCCCTCTGGCGACGCCCCTGCGTCTGACATAGCAACTCCTATGTTGGTATTGTATGCAACCCAGGTCGAAAAAACAGTTGAAACCAGTAGGCAACTGGTCTGGTACCAGTTGAAAGCAGTACATTCAACTGGTATTTAATATGGAAATTGAAACACCGCTAACTGGGACCAGTTGATTTACCAGTTGAAAACCAGTTGCAAACCAGTAGATTTAGCAGTAGAAAACTAGTAGATCGTTTGAAAATCAGTTGACTACCAGTTGATTATCCAGCAAAGATCAGTAATCAACTGATAATCTATAATCGATATTGGAATCAATGGTTACCGGTCCATTCTCGCATCACTTTCAAAATCCTACTTTTTTCATTCAAAATAACATATAACCTTGCCCCTAAATATCTTCTTGACCTAGTCTGCCTTCGATCCTCCTCTTCTGCCAGATCCCTCCGTTCATCTTCCTCCATGCAACTAATTCAGGACCCACGAACAAAAACACGTTATGGTGACCGTGCCTTTTCATCGATCGCACCCGCCCTCTGGAACAAACTCCCACCCCATTTTGATCCTGGGGGCTCACAGTAACGAATACATTGCTTAGCCAATGAATCATGACTGTACACAGCGGGTGCTAGGGTACGTCGACGCCCCAACAAAAGCAAAAAAACAAAGAAAATGCAATAAATTTTCAATAATTCATTGCATTTTGCCCCGACCCCAAACATTAAAAAAAATCGTCTATGTGGGCATGCCTTGAACCGTAATGCATGGCCCTACAGAGGAATTTTTCCTGTTGGGGACTGGGGGAAATGCAATGAATTATTGAAAATTTATTGCATTTTCTTTGTTTTTTTGTTTTTGTGGGGGCGTCGACGTACCCTAGCGCCCGCTGCGTACAGTCATGATTCATTGGCTAAGCAATAGCCTCGTTACTGTGAGTCCACAGGATTAAAACCGTGTCGATGTGCTATATTAGTGCCCTTTTATGAGGCATTAATCCCCATTACTGTCAGTTATTACTTAAGGACGTAGGTCCCCTAGTTGATTAGCATAGTAGCACACACATACTTTAGCAGTCACGCAAAACAAACACTCCCCAAGTGTCATTCAATACAATCTGAGAATGTATACTATTATCTAGATCTATTAGGAATAAATCATTGTCAAAATCATTCAATAAATTGGGGTAAAAGTAATTATTCCACCATTATGACCAACAGTGTATATTGTTTTACCATCATGTTTTTTTTTCTTTCCGTATTCCTTTTTATTTGAAAAGAATAGAAAGAAAAAAAAGTTGTAATATATACAGAGGAGACCTGCAGTACTACGTTATTTTTGCCGTTCCTGGTATCGTTATCTTTACTTTTACACCTAATTATCTATGTTACACTATAATTTTGTTATCCAATGTTATAAAAAAAATTGAGAAAGATCCTTTTTGTTTGATTTTAATCAATTGAATTGAATTAGTTATATATTAAAATCTTAGATGTGTTTTGTAACATAGAGAGGGGCAGTAGGCTTAGACTTGCCCCCCCCCCCCCCCATTTTTGTTGCACTTACAGATACTGAAGAGACCGAAGTCCAGAGAATACCCCACGCTCTAAATGCTGAATTGAATTCGATGACAAATTTCTGGGAAAAAAAGAAAAAGAATATGCGTTGTTAAGTCGCAATGCGGGTTAAAGTCGGAAAATGTGAAACATTCGTAACTCGTTTCATGCGGTATCAGAAAAACTTGAATCTTTTTAGCATATAAAACTTCGTAGAATTTTGACGTATTGACCATAGAATATTGAGAATTTTTTTCCATTGTATTAAAACAAATATGTACGAGATCATTTCGTATTCTATCCGTTGAATTAAAGTGTAAATATCTGCAAAGATTGCTAGAAAGCTGATATGCGCCCCCTACGCCAGGACTGTTCTACCCCAAAGGCTCAGCACTGAACACAGATACAGCTTGTGTGTGGACTGTAGCATATACATACAGTCATCATACGTTTTACACGTGTGTGGTAAAGGTTACCTTTGTTCGAATTTACGTCCAAAGATGGTATCTAAATGATTTTCTACATCTCATTTGTTAAATATTTCACTTGAGATTGGAGAAAAAAAATCCACAGCAGATTAGCATTAATGCTACTATCGTATTATTCATCATCAAACATCAAAGAAATTTTAATTTTTTGGTTGTTGTTTTTGAAGGGCTTATCAAAAATCTCACAGGTGCTTTGAATTAAGTTATAGGAAATGGCAAGGAATGTATTCGTCTCAGTGTAGTTAAAAAAATCTTATAATTCCGCTATAGGGATCAATAACATCGAGTTACCTTATTGGAATATCGAAATGTACGTATTAATGGATCTTTGTGAATATCATAACCTTTTTCTCTTAATCAGTTTTAACATGCACGTATAAAAGAAGGCATAGGATGTAAAATTGTTTAAAATGTTTTAATGTTTGTAATTTACAATATTAGAAGGTTCTCCAGATGCGAAAATGACCCCACTTGAATCCAGCTGATGTTGTTTGATTGAAGAAACCTGATAATAATGATAACACAAAAATATTAATTTATTAAGACGTCATCAATTATCTAGGATTAATAATACGTGATGATACGTAAACATATTGTTTGGTTCATCGAGAAGTCTAAGACCTTAGTCACACCATGGACCTACTACCATGGTCACACCACCAAACATACTCCACCCCGAAGCGAAAACGACACCCCAAGGCTCTTAACCGACCAATTCGTTTGCAATGGGCGGTAATGTAATAGTATTGTTCGGTCTGTAGTCAGTCTGGTATAGGTCTTGCCGGCGTGACTAAGGTATAATATTTGATTTAGAATTACTTGGTCGTAAAAATGGTTGCAGGAGCAATTGTAGTCACAGTAGAATAAACTGAATTTAGTCAAGTTGAATTGATTATAACATCACATAACATCACATCACTTCAACTTCGAACAAAGTCATGAATATTGAATTATTAACATATTTAAAATAGATGGGAGCAATTTAGAAACGCATTACTTGACAAAATTTGATTGTTTTAAAAATATAGCTCCAAAGCATAATCTAATATGCGGTTCTTGTTTAGTTTCTGTGATTTAATCATATCAAATAAACCTGCAAAATGCATTTCATAGATGGAATCATCATTGCATACATTATTCGTTGCTGTGTCGGGTAGGCCTCTGGCAAGCTTTTTTCAGTTGTGAAGAGATTTTTTGTTTTTAAAAAGTATGCATTTAATTGATAAACAGGCCTCTTACATAGGGGTCAAAGGAACCATGTAATAAATTGCATTCGGTAAACACGTAGAGTAGCCAAAAGAAATTTTACTCACAAATATGTTAAATTCTGCAGGCCATCAAAAACTCCAACCTCAATGTTTTGAATCTTGTTGTTTGAAAGACGCCTGATCGGGATAATGATATCAAATAAAACACAATCGCAAAGACTTTCAAAATGCAATCACTTTGTACAATGAGACACCTGTTCAAACATAACAATGACGTATTACATAATGTGACACATGATTTCTAAAGGCAATGCTTATGAAATTGGGAAGGTCCTTAGTTGATTTCCTGAACGTCTTGGCGACCGTATTATTAGTTACTGGCACCGAATTTTATCATTATAGACGGAGATAAGCATATTACATTGTCTAAACCATGAATAATCTATAGGTCTGTACAGCCTGTTATGAAAATGACCAAGAAATCAGTTACAATAATTACCATTTGCTATGCTATCTGTTAATACTTTAATTTGTAAATTTCGATAAAATGTAAAATGAGAGCAAAACAAATTTCCATTGGGCAATAAATATGAAATTGAAATTGAAATTAAAATCCCCCTTAACATATCAAATCCTTTTCTGGAGCATTTATTCTTGTATTTTTTCCAAGGTTACGTAAAACCAATAAAGTGGCTTTTGTTTAAACCATGCAATGCCATGCATCGTTTATAACCTCCAAGGCTTCTTACAACATGATTATTTTCATCAAAAGATGGCAAATGTAGATTTTACAGCGAGCTACTTGATCGATACGGGCAAAATAACAATCGCATCGATCGTCGAATCGAATCTGAAATCCTAATGCTAAACTGAAACCTCAGTCTTAACCCTTAAACGTAACCCGTACCCTAACCCACGTCGTTGCTCATATTTGTAGCTCTACTAGCAAAATGTTACTGATAAATATTGATGTTTAAAAGTAATACAAAGTTTTGGGGAATTTTGAAAATTGGGTGGATAGTGAATCTTTACAATTTTGATATATTTGGATGCCCCTGTTGATGTATTATAATCACTAAAAAATTTAGCCCCTAAAACCCTTCTGTTTTCGAGAAAATTGAATATAAAAATGTACCGGTGCTCCCGGTAAATTTTGATAAATTTTAAATAGCGCCTATGGCCGTACAATGGTAGCTGCGACCATGAAAATCTCAGAATATGTAGTTGTGATATATAATTTCCAAACGGGAATAGCTAATCAGTCGATTTTAGTCTAGAAACATTGTTTCAAAGCTAAATTAATATCTTGACCTTGAGAGGGAGCTATACAACATAAAGAGTTTATTATTTATAATTTCATAACTTCAGACTCGATTTCAACCGCGACAACGATCAATGAATAATGTAGGAACGCATATGCTTCCAATATTTTAATTTGAACCGAATTCATGACCCCATACCAAAACTTTGTAATACCTTTAATTAAAAAAAAATCTTTTAAAGGGCATGAATAAGTATGAGGTGGTCGACAATTCGTTGTATAAAGGCCTGCCTAACCTATGCATGACCTTTCCATGCCATCCTACAAGAAAATAACATCGCCGCCGGGGCGGTGGCTCCGTGACTTTAAGGGGGCAAATCAACCTTTTGCAATAACTTCATTTGTATAAAAGGACAAAAAGAAGAAGATGAAAAAATCTAAATATCAAAATGTACGTATCAATGGAACCTTGTGAATATCATAACCTTTTTCTCTTAATCAGTTTTAACATTCATGTATAAGAGAAAAAAATGGATGTACAATTGTTTAATGTTTTAATGAATTGCAACTTACAATATCCGAAGGTGCTCCACATGTGAAAATGCTCCCACTTGAATCCAGCTGAAATTGTTTGATTGAAGAGACCTGATTATGATGATAACAAAACAATAAATATTTTATTAAGACATCATCAATTATCTAGGATTAATAATATGTGATGATGCGTTAATTTTTGTTTGGGTTCATCGAGAAGTCTAAGACATAGGTCACACCACCAAACAGACTCCACCCGAAGCGAAAACGACACCCAACGCTCTTAACCGACCAATTAGTTTGTCCATGGACCCATGGACTTCGTAGTAGGGTCCATGGTTTGTCATTGGCAGTAATGTAATGGTATTGTTCGGTCTGTAGTCAGTCTGGGGTCGGTCTTGCCGGCGTGACTAAAGTTTAATATTTGATTTAGAATTAATTGGGTGTAAAAATGTTAAGCAGGTGAGATTGTTGTCACAGTAGAATAAACGGACTGTAAGCCAAGTTGAATTGCTGATAACATCACAATTTAGAGTTACTTCAACTTCGAACAAAGTCATGAATATTGAATTATTAAAAACATTTTAATTAGATGGGAGCAATTTACAAACTCATTAATTTACAAAATTGGACGATGATTTCAAAAAATTGGCTCCAACGCATTATCTAATTGCGGTTTATGTTTAGTTTCCTTAATTTAATCATAAAAAATAAACCTGCAAAGTGTATTTCAAATATGGAATCATCGTTGCCTATATTAGTGGTTGCTGTGTCGGGTTGGCCTCTGGCTAACCTTTTTTTAAGTTGTCAAGATAAACTTTTGTTTTAAAAAGTATTTATAAAATCCATATACAGGTATCTTGCATGGTAACGTGGTCAAAGGAACCATGTAATAATTTGTATTCGGTAACACGTAGAGTAACAAAAAGGAATTTTACTCACAAAAAACGTAATTTCTGCAGGCCATCAAACACTCCAACCTCAATGTCTCGGATCTTGTTGTTTGAAAGAACCCTGATCGGGATAATGATATTAGATTAATAACAATCGCAAAAACTTTGAAAAATCAATCACTTTCAATAGCCTAATGAGACACTTCTTCAAACATTACAATGACGTAAACGTAATACATAATGGAAACTTAGGTCCTTAGTTGATTCCCTGAACGTCTTGGAAACCGTTTTAATAGTTACTGGCACTTCAATTAAGCACAATAGACGGAGATAAGCATATCACATTGTCTAAATCCATGAATAATCTATAGGTCTGTAAAGCCTGTTATGAAAATGGCTGAAAAAATTTGTTACAGTGATCTACAAAGGCTATGATCAGGGGCGTAAATCCCGGGGGGGGGTAAGGGGCTGCATCCCCCCCCCCCCCTGGCTTGAGGTAGGGGGGGTGGCCTGTACAAACATCCCCCCTGATATTACCAAAAAAAAGAGAGAAACAAAAGGAAGAAGAAGAAGAAGAAAAAAATGTGATTGTTTCAATTTCAGCATAATGCATGAGAAATGAGTTATTTTTGTTATGTATGTATAACTGTATAGCCTACACGTATACAGTATGTCACTATCATTAAGAGTAGTTGCGCGACGTGCGCGAACAAGCACTTCATAAACTTCAGAATAATTTGTCGTTATTTTGCAAGGTATTATTATAGCCCAGACGTAAAGTGCGCCAGCGCGCGAGCGCTTAAAAAGTGCAATCATGTACAGTAGAAAAACACCTAAAACTTAAGGGACGAGGGGATGATATTTAAGGGCTGCAATGCATGTGATGTTTGTGTAGGTCTATGAATGAATTAATTTGTTGTTTATATTGAATGAATTGAATTGAATTCAGATAAATAGGGCTTAATAAGAGTCGAAAACGGTGCAACGAATCGTCTTCTTTCTATAATAATTAATAATTAAATCAAATGTTACAGTGATCTACAAAGGCTATGATCAGGGGCGTAAATCCCGGGGGGTGGGGGGCTGCATCCCCCCCCCCCCTGGCTTGAGGTAGGGGGGTGGCCTGTACAAACATCCCCCCTGATATTACAAAAAAAAAGAGAGAAACAAAAGGAAGAAGAAGAAGAAGAAAAAAATGTGATTGTTTCAATTTCAGCATAATGCATGAGAAATGAGTTATTTTTGTTATGTATGTATAACTGTATAGCCTACACGTATACAGTATGTCACTATCATTAAGAGTAGTTGCGCGACGTGCGCGAACAAGCACTTCATAAACTTCAGAATAATTTGTCGTTATTTTGCAAGGTATTATTATAGCCCAGACGTAAAGTGCGCCAGCGCGCGAGCGCTTAAAAAGTGCAATCATGTACAGTAGAAAAACACCTAAAACTTAAGGGACGAGGGGATGATATTTAAGGGCTGCAATGCATGTGATGTTTGTGTAGGTCTATGAATGAATTAATTTGTTGTTTATATTGAATGAATTGAATTGAATTCAGATAAATAGGGCTTAATAAGAGTCGAAAACGGTGCAACGAATCGTCTTCTTTCTATAATAATTAAATCAAACGTCTAAGCTTTTCGCGCTTCGCGCGGGAAGGGGGAAACTGAATTCAGAAAAGGATTAAGAGTCGAGAACAGTACACCCAATCGTCTGCTTTCTCTAATAATTTAAGGAAACGTCAAGGCTTCCGCGCTTCGCGCGAGAGGGGGAAACTGAATTCAGATAGATAGGGCTTATTAAGAGTCGAAAACGGTGCAACGAATCGTCTTCTTTCTATAATAATTAAATCAAACGTCTAAGCTTTTCGCGCTTCGCGCGGGAAGGGGAAACTGAATTCAGACAAGGATTAAGAGTCGAGAACAGTACACCCAATCGTCTGCTTTCTCTAATAATTTAAGGAAACGTCAAGGCTTCCGCGCTTCGCGCGAGAGGGGGAAACTGAATTCAGATAAATAGGGCTTATTAAGAGTCGAAAACGGTACAACGAATCGTCTGCTTTCTCTAATAATTTAATGAAACGTCAAAACTTCCGCGCGGGAGGGGGGGGGGGGGGGCCAGGGGGGGGGGGGACTGAATTCAGACAAAGATTAAGAGTCGAGCACGGTTTAACAAATCGTCTACTTTCTCTAATAATTTAATGAAATGTCAAAGCTTCCGCGCTTCGCTTGAGAGAGACGGAGAAACTGAATTCATACAAGGATTAAGAGTCGAGCACGGTTCAACGAATTGTCTACTTTCTCTAATAATTTAATGAAACGCCAAAACTTCCGCGCGCGGGAGGGGGGGGGGGGCCGGGGGGGAACTGAATTCAGACAAGGATTAACAGTCGAGAACGGTACAGCAAATCGTCTTCTTTTTATAATACTTTAATGAAACGCCAAAGCTTTCGCGCTTCGCGCGGGAGGGGGGGG